CCAGCAGGGGATACATTTTCAGATACACTTAACCAGATACAAAGATACAGATACAAGGCAACAGCTGTGCAAACCGTAACCAAAAAGTCTGAAAGAGCGGCACCTAAGTAAACAGGGTATAAACCGAAAAGAGTCAATGTACTAGAGCCGAAGATTGTGTAATATTTTAGACAACTTTGGGAAGGCAAACGCGATTGGATCGGGGATCGCTTGCAGGACCCATTAAACTTACCCCAGTCGCGCGAACAACTTTATATCCAGCGACATGCTGCTGCTGCACAGATTTTTTCCAATAAAAATAATATTTATAGCCCCGCGGACCAGAACAAACCGAAGCGAAAACATAATTAATGGATCAGTGCCTTGGAATTATGTGAGTTTAATGGTTGTGTAATCTGGAAATGCATTTCCCAGCACGCAGCGCAGCATCAAATAACATGCCCCTAAATGGAAATGTTTCTCCACTTGATTGGGGCGGGGTATGGATATTGGTATGGGTATAGTATGGGTCTATGGTTATATAGCTGTGGGATCGGATCAGCCGCAAAGCTTTCCGTTTGATAATGCATCATTCGATCACGCGGCGTCGACCATGGCGGCATTTTTCAATTAATGCCAGCCGATCCAAAGCGAACTGAGCTGCCATATGCACTCAGACAAATGGGTTTTAAATTAAACATGTCTAAAAATAGAGTTTTTGTTTAAAGCCAAATGATTTTCATATTAGAGAATGATTCCCATTAATTTCAGTTTTTTATTATTATCATAATGGTATTTCCTTAAATGGTATTTCCTTAAATGGTATTTTTTAATAAGTTCTTATTGTTTTATTCACAGCTAATAACATTTAAAACACCGTCTATTAACTTATTAACTCCTTTTTTGTTTTTATTTAAATAGATTGTTAATATACATAAGCGAACTAATGCTTTCCAAAAAATTAGCTAAAACATAAGTGCAACATGAAAATGAAAGCAGACATTTATTTACTTTAAACCCATTTTCTCTTTTAAATGATCTTTGTTTTGAGTCTGGTAGTAAGGAATCAATCATAAATAAGAGAATCAACCTAAACCATTTCGTAGGTACCAATTATTTGTGTGATTTTACCTATACATCTATAATTATGATTATTTTTTATAACTTTTTTTTGTGTTCAGGGCGAGGCCTCTTAGTTTTTCAGCTGAACTGCTCCTCCCGCAGAACTTTGTTTCAATCCGCTTCGTTTATTTGCTTTGGCTCATTAGCGTTTGGACTCACGTTTTTCCTACTCCGACGTGATCGGGCGTTGCTATCTGTATTCCCCGGGGCATCTGCCCTCTCTTTCGTCGTTTTGGGCGCTGTGCATTTGGGGTAATGCACATCCAAATCCAACACTTTCCCATGTGGCGTGTAGAGTGAAATTAACCCCGAGTGCCACTTGACTATCATAAAAATACGAAGCGATAAGCAGCACTCGACTGTCTATTTATGGCCAATCGTTTGTTTTGTTTACAAATGAGCTCTTTGCCATAAAAATGGAAATCGAAGAAGCAACTTCTAATCTAGGTAAACTATATAGGCATATTTTCTAGGTAAAGAAAACTATACTCCACTATTACTTCTCCAAACAAGCGGTTTCTTATCAAGCGTTTTCAGGGTAAGTTTAAGGTAAACATAATATATTTCTCTATAACAGTAAGTGAAATAGACCCATTATTATACAACTTGATAAGATGTAATATACTTATACACATAATTTCAAAGCAACTCAATAAGGGTTTTATAACTTATGTATACTTTGCTCTCACATCACTGTTCCTCAATTTCTATCTAAAACAAATAAATTGTTGTCAAACAAAATGAAAATCAAATAGGGATTTATTTCATTGTTAGCATTTGACTAAACACCAGTACTGACAAGTTAAATAAGCAAAACTGTTGAAATATGAGACTAATCAGTTTCTCTGAAAGCATTGCCTGCATTATTTTCCATGTGGATTTACTATTATTTAATTGGCTCTGTCCAGACACGCTTCCCATTAATTCGTAAATCATGGCCTGGCAAATAAAACAAATTGCAAACTAATTTCGTTTTCATTTCTCGCCTATCAAATGGCACCGCCAAAAGAAATTCGCCACGGGCCAATACGAAAGATAAAAAAAGCAAAATAAAGGCACAAATTATGCAAATTCCTTGAAAACGAAAGGCATTCTCCAACGACTTAAACATTTGATTCGCTCCGCATTTGAGTATTCATTAGCTGTGATATTGTGGATTACCAGTTTTTTGGGGGGAGTTTACTGAAGTTATGCAATAAAAATCAGAAATGTTTGAATAAACAAATTAAAAGATTGAAAATGAGTTGCTGGAGGACAAACTCTTTTAATTTTGATGGATTTACTTTTTCAATGAGTTTGCTTTTGGATACTTATGCAAATGCTGGCCTTAATTGGGGACCTTGAACCTAAAGACAATAGACATTAAACACTTGATAATTAAAATCGACTAAATCATCAAAATTTGGCTAAAATTGCTCGAGCGAGTCGGGCTTAAACACTGGAAAATAAGAAAAAACCAAAACAAAAGCGGCGGCTGCAAAGTTTTTTTAATGAGAGGGACAGAGAGAGAAAAAGAATAGAGTCCAAGTGCAAGCAAACAAGGAAAGACCAAAAATATATGTATGGACAAAAAGCATGACGACAAAAACAAGAAAATTTAAATAATAATCTGCGACGCTGAGATACACTTCAATAAAAATAATCCCATTTAACTTTCTTATTACAATTTAATTATTTTCAAGTCAATCGAAAATACTTATCTATTTGATATAAATATCTTTATAGCAAAAATGCTTTAAATTATAATAATTTAAAATTTTTAGAAATTTTACAAACTTATTCTGATTTGATGATTTTTTAAAAATTTTCCCAATCAGTAAAGATAGTTTTCTAATGGTTCCAGGTGTGTTAACTAAGCTGTATAAAAACAAAATCTTATACCTTTACCCCAATTAATCTCAGTGCATAACAGTCTGCAGAGATTTCGGTGAATCAGCAAATTGTTTGAATGGAAATAATACAAAACAACCTTTTACGGTTTTTTCGTCTGTTTGGCTGCAGGTAAGACAAGGAGGACAGGAGTTAGAGCGAGATAGAAGAAGGCAGATGAAACCCTTGGCGAAAAAATGAAAAACTAAAGGAAGTTCTGTCTGGTTTTTTGAATAGAAACTAAATAATTTTTACAAACCTTGAAATGAGAGCAATAAACGCCGCTTATTCGTCGCAATTTGCACTTGCACTTTCAATGGCCAGCAATTGTTTTTTCGCTAATTGAGAACTACACGTAATAAAATCTTCTTTTTGTCTCGAGCAATGACGAATTATTATTGGAACGCGCTAAATTAGCATAATGCAATTGACGAAACAACTAGTTTTGCAACCGGCACAAAATGCGCGCGCGATTGCCAAATGTAAACAGAACAGAATAAAACCGAAAGCGTCGCACTTAAAATCCGTGTAAAAACGTTGTAAATTTACTAGCAAATATATGTAAAGAGGAATATTCTTGTGCGGCACTAATATCCATTAATATTTGTTGATATGTTTTATAAACAAAGTCACCCGAGGACCGAGACTTTCGATTCCACGCGCGTCCGAATCAGCTGGCGTCGTTTTTTGTAATAACCAACAACAAAATGCGGGGGATGCTTTTATAGCCTACGGGCCAGTGGGACCGTCCCACGGTAGAGCCAAACACCTTAAGATTTGGTGGTGCGTCACACTGGCGCGGTAACAGAACTCTGTTAAATGCTAACATGAACAGAAAACGCAGGGGGTCACACGCACAGACTAACATAGCTCTGTCAAATGTCTGGCAGCTCTAAAAATATTGTACCCGCTAAAACGCACTGTTAACCGATATCAAAACCGTTGACTTTTTAAAAGTAACAATGTATTCCTAAAGAATTAAGGGCATTCAAATCGATGATTTTCCCTATATCAACAGGCGAGTTGCTATTTGCACATAATAATATCATTTAAATTTTAGCGGGGAAATATTCGGTAATATATTAGTTCCATGCTGCTATTAAACATTCAGTTAGTAAGGAATAACAGTTAGTGGCCAAACAAAACTACAGTTAAATAGGATTTCCATCAACTTTATTAATGTTTCTTTTTATTTACTTATTTTTTAGTTTTTTATCTGCGCTTTGGCATTACGTAAAAATATATTGTGGCATAATATATTGTTTAAACAAGTTGTCGATAAAATATATATATTATTTTTTTTGTGTATATATCAGTTAATTAGTTTTTGCACAAATGGTAGTAAGCATTGCAAGTTTAAACTTAACTTCTAATTTTTTACAAAATGTTTCGGTTGAAGAAGCTTGTAAAAGGGTTTCGGTTGCAATGGCTGTTGCTGCATTATTTGCCGCTGTTGCTGCTGTACCTGCAATATTTGCTGCTGTAGCAGCAATTGTTGCTGCTGGAGCAGCAATATTGGCTGATGCTGCTGCTGCACTTGCAACATTTGCTGCTGGTGTTGCTGCTGCGGCTGCTGCTGCTGAGGATGTTGCTGTGACCGCTGGCCAAGTGGACAGTAATAGCTCCTCGCCACGGGTTGCACTCTGACTAGGAATCTTTTCGTTCGAGTGCGGAAAATGGGTTTAATCAAAAGCAAAAAGTCTTTTCGGCAAACGAACACAAGTTGTGGGTGAACGCGAAGACATTTACAAATGTTTGATACAAAACATTGAACTTCTATCTAATGTAAATTTCATCTCAATTTTGCATTAATTGTAAATATTTAGTTTTACTTTTGGGAACCAGTCTTGAGAAGCACACACATTTGATGCGCTGTCTAAACGTTATGTATATACGAGTATAAAACCATGATGCTGAATATCGATGCACACACTATCGAGTCTTTCGGGGATCGGTTAGTAGCTAGGGGTTAGTACACTAACACACGAAGCACAGGACTCAGATGCTGGACGTGGAGGACCAGGACTCACCCATCTGGCTGATGTGGCTGCTGCTGCTGCGATTGCTGTTGCTGCCGGCGACGTCTGGCCACAGCACTATTTTTGATAATGGCCTCGATCTCGCGACCCCCCGAACTCTCGCCCTCCGATGCCGAGGCACAATTCCCGGCCGCATCTTCACTGGCCGCCGCCGATCGAGGTTGTCCCAAGGTGGCGAGATTCCTCACCAGGTTCACTGCATCATCGTGTTTCGGTGTCGAGTTCTCCTTGGACACATTCCTCAGGATCTGGGCTAAATTCCTTTGCGGATTGTCCACCTCATCACTAGTTCCTTTAGTGGCATCTGCCGTGGTGGCAGATTTGCGGAGATTGGAAACAGTAGCATGAGTGGAGCGTTTGAGGCGATTCTTCAGCTCGGCATTGAGATCCACAGGCATTAAACCGCGTCCCATGCCCACCATAGGTTTTCCCGTCTTAAGAATGCTCTTAAGTGGTTCGGCGGTGGGTTTTCCTATAAAGTGAAATAGATTTTATATTATTAACTTAGATCAAAATAGTTCCTTATTAAAGATAGCAATAAATCAATGAATAAAAAAGGCAGGCAAAATCATACATAATATGCCCAACAAGCGCTTAGTTGCAAACTTTGAGAAGCGCCTAGAAAAGCGCAAAACATGCTTAAGCTTGCAAAAGATCATTAGAAACATTCAAATACTCACTCAGTCTCAGAACTTTTTCCCACCGATTCTTAATCTCCTTTTCTTTAGCACATTTCTTGGATTTATTTTCTCGGTTTAACAACTTCCATTAATTAAATATTACAATAATAATAATAAATGTAATACATACTCATCATAATATAATTCCGTTTAAGGTACAATTCGTTTTTAAATGTAAATAAAAAGTAGTGATTTATGTATAAATAAGCACAAAAGCAGTTTCGTATAATAATAATATAAGATATGGGTTAACTGGAAGTTTTTGCTGGCCAGACATATAATATACGAGCCGTTGGGAATAAAACTGTCTCTTGGTTTAAATACATGCCTAACGTTTATAGTTTTGCTTTTTATTACTTCGTTTTCGTTTGACATTTCTGTGGAATTTTCGTTTCGTTTGTTTTTATTTTTTTATTGGGATCACTACGAGACTACTTCAAAGCGAATAGTTGGGGGAAATGGGATCGGGCGCATCTATCACACTGAGCGCAGGACCCACACGAAGAGAGCGTAATTTTTGGGTTCGGAAATGAAAATGAGGCTTTTTGGGGGATTTCGAAAAATTGGGAAATTTTGAATGCTTGGCCAAAATAGACAATTTTTCAGCCCAGTAGTTCGCCGTACAACAGCTTGAAGTTCTTGCCAGCCGCATGGAGTTCATCGGGTGTGACCTCAATGTCCTCGAAGCTGGAAATGCTTGCCTTCCGCCGGTTGATCGGCGAATGTGCTCTCTTGGGACTTGGCATGGCTGTGGGACTGGTGCAGCCACTGGAGTAGTGATCCATGGACAGGGGCCGCGTCCTCTTGAGCAGCTCCCGTCGCTTGGACACCACAGTGGTGATCGGGGGCAGTCGGACGTGCGCATTGGTGGCCTCCACTTGGTTATTGGGCGGCAGCGATTGTGTTTTCAGCAGGGTGGTCGTCGTGTTGAAGCTCTCCTTCACGCCAAAGTACTTGGCGAACCGATCGTCCACATTGGGAGATCGCGTGGCTATAGTCACGGAGGTGATCTCGGTGGTGTGGCGACGATTCACAGGTTGCGGCTGCGGCTGCTGCTGTTGCACCAGCCGGGTGATCTTCCTGCGCATCTCGGACACCCTGGGCGGAGCTCGTTCCGATTCCTCCTGGTTTTCCTGCTGATTGGAGGCACAGTTCTCCTTGCCCGAATCCGAACCACTGTCGCTGGTTCCATTCGACAGCTTCTCGGTGTTTAGTTTCTCCTGCTGCTTCTCGATAAACGGAGACTTCACCTTGCCAATGGTTCGTAAATGAACGGAAAGGTTCACGGGCTCCACGTTCTGCAGTTTCACCATGGAAGTGCTCCAGCTGGCGCTCTTGTTGCTGCTGCTGTTGTTGTTGCGGTCGCCGCGGAAGGTATCGGGCATGATCAGCTTTCCAATGGTGCGTACGCTTACTCGCAGGGTCGTGGTGTCATCATCTCCTCTGGACGGCGGATCGGTGGCGGATCTGCTCAACACATGGAAGCCATTCTGCAGGGGCGACTCCCTCAGGACGGGGATCTTCTTCCTCAATTGCACCTGGCACTCCTCCTGATCCACCTGCTCCTTCAGCTCCTCCTGCTCGGGCTCGATGATGCTCTCCAGCGTCAGACTAGATGGCTCCTTCTCGTGCGGAATCGGCGAGTAATCCATGGGCGTGGGCGTCACACTGGCACTGCTGGCGGTGGTGCTGCTCCTCGGAGTGGTGCGATCGATGGGTGGACTCCTGGAGTAACTGCTGGTGCGACTGCGGTACCTTCCGCCGCCTCCTCCACCGCTCTCGCAGAGATTGCTGAAGAAGGCCAGACGTTCGGCCAGCGACAGGGATGAGGGCTCTACATTGAGTTGGATTTCAGAGATTAGTTTTTGCTAAAAGTTAATCCTTGTGGCTTTTGCACCACTTACGCATTGCATTTGCTCAGCCTGTTCGGAGATTTTACTTTGAATTTTAGTTAAATTGAAATATTTATTGCTGCTGCTGCTGTGGTTGCCTGTGGTTTCTTTGAGATGTGGCGACTAACAAGAGTCAAAGACGAACTGCGCATTCGGTTATATCCGCTGCCCACACTCTGATGTTGCCGTTGCCGCGATAATGTTTTTTATTTCCCGCTTTACACTATCATCTTGAGCTGCCTTTATCAAGCACTAAATAAACTGACCGACCGTCACAAAAGATGATTTTACCCCCTCGTGTAACTGAATCATAGAAAGTTGGTCTGGCGTTTATAAAGCAATTTCTATAATTTGTCACTTTTTGCGCTTGCTTTGTATATATACGTACATATATATCTGTCGTCTTCTCGATTTTCATTTTCATTTGTAACTTTCGATATTGGTTCTTCCACCACGCTTTCAATTGATATGAACTTTCTTTGTAAGCGTTTGAGTGAGTTTTTTGTGTGGGTTAACTGATAAACAAGCCGCAAATAAATTATGGAAAATTTTGTAAGCGTGGATTGAAATTGTAGAAATAAGATAATAATTAAGTACTACGTTAAAATAATTGGCCAACAATTTTGAATTGGATTTGTGACAGTCAATTAATTAATCAAAATGATTTGACAATTTTATAGATATATTTGCGGTGGCTAGACTGAAACCATTTTTAAGATATCGCAAAATGATTTAATGATCACGTAATAAAAATAATTTCAAACATATTTAGTATTTTTATTTGAGATAATCATTGCTTTTTCAAATGTATCCTTTGTTCCAAACATTTCTGTATGCTAATTATATACTTTTTACTGGCGTCTATCAAGGTCAACGTCATACCACCTTATCGGTAATAAATTTTACAGCGCACTTTTCAGGTGAAACCACAAAGAACATGCTCAAACCATACACCCTCCCAGCTTTCGGCCATAAAAGCAGACTGATAACCGATACAAGAAATGAGGTTACCATTAGCTTCACCCATTTTTCAAGTGTGTCAGTATAATGATATTATGGAACACTTTCAAGGAAGAAGACCCGATGCGAGTAGGCGTTAATAATGTTGTAAATAAAGGCCATAATATTTGGAACGCTTAATTAACTGAGCTAAAGACCCCGATGAAAATATGGCAAATAAATAAATGTGGAAAAATAAATCACGCGCGTCTTAAATTACATAAACATACAGTTGTGGAGAATAAATTGTTATTAGATTTCTCATGCGGCAACAACAACATCAATAAAACAAGTCAAAACAGCAACGGCAACAACAATAACAAGGAGTTAATTCATTTGTTAGAAAACTCAAACTAGCGTAAATAATGAAAAATTCGTAAATGAAAACCGATGAACGCACATGCATGGAAAATCAAATTAGTGTATGAATTTGTATTGCAGTTTTCCATTTCTTTTATTGCGCAACTTAACGTGGGTTGCATTTTTTTGCATCTCGAATTTGGCACTGGTTTTTATGCGTCCAATGCGAATTTGTTCGAGTTAATTATAAATTAGTCGCAGGCGAGTCAATAAAAAAATTATATGTAAAAATAACGAAAACAGACACAGTAAGCAACAACAATAAATCTTTTTCTTATTAAATATATATGTTTTATCATTCCAAAATGAGCATCGTGCAAATTAAACAAAAACGTAAGTATGGCAAAATTGAGAGGAACGTTAAAAACTAGAAAAGCTGGAATCTATTTAGATTTTCAAAGCTGATCTAGGTACAACCTCCCTCTCTTATGAATTTATAAATGTATATTAACTTACCAAATTCCCCATCTATCGTTGCATTGGGCGTGGAGAGCTCATCACTTTGCATGGAATTCTCGGCTGCAGTGGAGGAAACCTCTGCCGATGCTGGTGGAGATTGACGGGAGGCTCCTGAAACAGAAATTTAAAGTAAGTTTATTCCATTGTATTTCTGAAAAATGGGCTTTTGGTTGCCTATTGGCTTCATCATCTGCATATCTGACCATCTGGATTAGTGAACCATAAACACAAACATAATAAGATTTTCACCTGCATTCTGAAATCTCATTTTCAGGATACTGGGAAAAAACGGACAAGAAAAAGTTTGTGTTTTTAAGTGCACTACAAAAAAAGACACTAGATTGGCATTCTACTCAAAGGGGGTCTAGTTATTATTACATGATTTTTATACTGTCTCGATAACAAACTCTAATCTCGAGTGACCTGAGCCATATTCCACCATACACATTACAAAAGTTACCCAACACGCAAGCCGCAATTAGTTGCTGATTGCCGGAGACGGCGACTTTTCACAGTGCGGGTGAGTGTGAGGCAAGTGACATACATTTTACAGCTTATTAACTTGGCCAACAACCATGAGAGGCTTGCAGCAACACCAACGCTAATGGCAATATCTGGCAAACACTCTGGAAAAAGCGTCACACACTGACCAGCAGGGGATTTAGCTAATTAAATTTCGCGCAAGTTAGGGGTTTTGTTGGGGATCTTGAAGGCTACTTCTAAACAAACATTTAAGTGTTTGCTTTGGAGTTATCTATTGGTCGCCATAAAATATTTCCATCTATTATTGCCTCTAAAATACTTCTTACCTAAATATGTGTTCAAGTTTGTTTACTATCTTTAATAACTAACAGGCTTATCCATTTCTTAATATTTTACACAAACTGGGCGAAATTTGTTGTTTCCATGAGATTCTTGAATATCTGTGCCCTTAAATATTCCGGCCCTAGCCCAACTCTAACTCTAAGCTGCTCCCATTCTGGCGACTGTGCTCTTGGCCTTCTTGTTTCGGTCCGTTTGCGACATGGGCCAACCAAGTTCGCAGTGCCACCGGTTCAACTAAGCGGTCGCTGCTCGTCTGCTTTATTGCTTCATGCTAATTTCTGCAAAGCCAGCAGATGATGCTTATGGTGGGTGAATGGGTTCGCGACCTGCATCACCAGACCTTCTTCACAACTACTAACCCGTTGTCCGATGATTGCGCGACTGCTCCTGCAACTGCTGGAACATATTGGCCCTGGCTCGAACGCTGTTGCTCCGCGTTAAACCACTGGGTGGTGTGGCGGTGGTTGCGGTGGTGGCTGTTGAGTTTCCAGATGCGGAAGCGGCTGTCTCATCGCTCAGCGACTGAATGGCCGAATCCTCCTCCAAAGCGGACATCTCGAAGATGTGCTCACTGTCCGTGCCGATGGATAGAGTTAGCTGTTCGCTGAGATTGACGCTGTCGTTGACTGAGTTTTGGCGAGCCAACAGTGAGGATTGCGGTGATGATGGGCCACCGGCAGCCTGACTGACAAGGTGAACAACTCGGGGCGACTGCAGCGGTTGGGTGGAACTGCGGGCCAGGCGGAACGAGGTTCCAGCTCCGGAATTCGTCGACGATGATAGCAACAGTGGCGCGGGCACGTGGCTGAGTGGCTGTCCTGTTATCGGGGAAATCAGAGGTGGCTGCGGCGCGTGGGTCAAGCGGATGTCCAGTGGTCTGGTGGGCTTAAAGGCCGACGTGGCCGAGATGTCGAAGGGCGCGGAGTTGGCTTTAAAGCTGCAAAAAGAAAGAGAACACACATTTGGTTAACACACATGTATAAAAAGAATCAAGATGGGTCATACAATTTGTGGTTTCCTATGACAAATTATCTGATTGTTTTGGCATTTTAATAGGAATATTTATTTGCCTGATAAAACAAAGAATTTACAAATAATAATTCATTTATTGCGCCTCACAATAACCAACCACAATGAAAAAGTTTAAGACAATTGACATGAGTACAGAAAAGTTTTAAAATAATTTGTGGTTATATCAACTTTAAATAATTATGTGAGATATGCATTTTGGTTATAGATAAAGAGTTGTCTAAGAAACTTTTAGGTTTTTAACCTGTTGAAATATATCATTTGGTAATTGTTTATTATTATAAATAATAAAACTAGGTGTTTTCATATTCGATACAGTTGAGTTTTTGAATCAAACTAACATGTCATTAGAAAATGAAACTCTGGCTTTTATACCATGCAGAAATTTACATAACAGTGGCCTTAAATACACTGTGAATTTCGTTGTGGACCTTCATCTCTATCATTCTCTCTGTCTGACAACAATACTCGGACATAATTATAGGCAATTTTGGCCAACTTAATTATGTTTTGGTGGTGAAACTTTTGCGCTGCCGACTGATGCTTTTGTTGCTTTGGATTAAGCCTCCAGGGGAGTGAAGGTAAAAGTTTACAAGCCATTTGATGGCCAAAAGAATTAGCCAAACTGTTTTAGCCATAAAACGCTGGCAGTGAAAGGTAATTGAATTGATGATAAGAAAAGGAAAATCTATAATAGCTAGTGTACGTTTTTCCCCACAGACTCCATATAAACTTGCCAGTTTATCACCCTCTTAAAAAGCCTCTTGAAATTTCTTTTCTATATTTAGTCTTTTACCTACAACTTGTTAGGCTCTTGAGTTTTTCCAATATTTGTTTTGTTTATCAGGCCCATTTTCCTCGCCTGGCGCACATCGAATGTTAAAAGGAGGAAGCGGAAAATAACAAAAAAACTAAAAATATACAACAATTTAAATGCAACAACTAAGCTAATTGGATTTTGGATGAGGGAGGAAAGGGGAAAAAGAGTCCGTGAGAATTCTCTCATTCAAATTTCAAATATTTCGAAACACAAAACATGATAAAAGGCAACAGTTGCCGAGAAATATAAAAAACATTTGACTGTAGATGATCTAATCGAAGAGGATCAGGGGAGCAGGCCTATATATATAAAAAACAGCTCTCGTTTTGGCCAACTTAGTGAGTACACAAACCAGAATATTTCACACCAAAACAACACATATTTATGCAGACATTGGCATTGCTATTTTACGATTTATAATTTAAATATTTTTCGCCAATTTGGCACAATTTATAGCTCGTTGATTGGGCACTTGAATATTGGAATATTCGTTTGGGTGCACAAGTGCACATTTTCATGGAATTTATTTTTAGCACATTACGAAATTCTTATTTGACCGAAAAAAACGGGCATTTTCATGGCACATTTCTTTGGTGTTTTCTGCGTTTTTCCCAAACTTGTATTTTATTTACTACCTTTTCCAAATCACACGCGGTGTGTGAGCCCGTCAGCCGGCAACTGGTTAAGAATTTCCGAAGGGAACGTGGTTTTTCTTCCACTATGCACACATATAGAGAATATACTATCTGGTTCTGCACCTGATAAGAAGGAGACCGAACGACCGAACCGGGCAGCGATTTAGTTGATAAATTTATCAGTTAGTTTCGATTTCTTTTACACACACTATTCACTATTTACTATTTATTCACTCATTTGTCAAGCGAAGAAAACTATATTTTTCGATATTTGTTTTTGTTTTTTTTTGTACGTAAAATATATATTTTATATTTCAGCGCTGCTGCTGGCGGATACGTGAAAATTGAAAAAGCGATCGCGAGCAACTGAGCGCAAAAATTGTACAAACAAAACGCCGAGCAGAAGAGCGTCGGCAGAGAAAAGTTGGGTGGTGCGGTGGCGAGAGCGGGGTGGTGCGGTGATTCGGTGCTGCTCTGCCGCCGTCGACGTCGCAGTCGGCAAATTTAAATTATTTTCAGCTTTGTTTTCTTGCCTTTTTTTTTTATTGCCAGTGCTTTATATTTATTTTGGTATGGTATTTTCCTTCTTTTCCGCCGTCTGGCTGGGAAATGTCTTCGTTGGCTTTTCTTTTGCGGTGGGTTTTTCTTCGACTCTTTCATTAGTGAAAGAGAAATTTTTAGAGATCGAAGAGCAGGTGGGAATAGCTATTTCGAAATGAACAAACATTTTGGAAGAAAATTTGAACATATACTAAAAGTCTGCATTTGTTATTAAACAAAAATACTGATAAGATTAATAGTTTTTAAAAGTTTTTCTTTAAAAAGCAGCTTGCAGACCTATTCTAATTTAATATTTTTGAAAGGCATGAAAATAAATGTATTGCTTTTAGCTCTGTCATTTTTACTTTTAGTTTTTTTTTTTTGGTTAGAATTTGTGAATGGACCGACTAAGGTGTGACACGGATTATTTATTTATAGAAGACGTAGACTCGCGAGATATTTCTTAATGGCAGCATAAAACCATTATTTAACTCATAGAAAATCTGCAAAGTTTTTGTATTGACATATTTACGATTGGGCTATTAAACGGATTCTTTTTTAATCTAAAAATATCTGTGTTACTTTGTTTCTGGTTATCTTATCGGGAGATTAGGAAAGATACAGCATAACTTTGAATTGGACATATTTGAGCTTTATCGATTTAATCGTTGGCAACACATGTCACCGTGCAATATTTGTACTATCTCAATGCCGGCGATAATTGTTTGCTTTTTTCCCTTTTTTTTTTTGCTTTCACAAATTTTGAGTTCGATTTTTGGTTTCTTTGTTACCGTTTTCTGATATACGCCTCAAACATTTTTTCGCTCTGACGTCGCTGCAGCAACAACATGGAACGACAGTCGCCCTTCTCGGGAAAGTCCTCCTCGTCTAAAGGTTATGTCACGGAATCGGGAGAAGATACGAAAGTATCTGTATCGAAACGCGTTCGCCTGCTGCAACCTACTGAATGCAACTGAATGCGAATATAACTACAAGTAGGGAACGTATGGGCAGCATAAATTTCACGGCACAAAGCGTCGGCAAAAGTGCAAAAGATATTGACAATACCGTTCGCTGAATGCAAATGTGACAGCCAGCGAGAGTGTGAAAACAAAAGGTATACAGAACAAACCAGGCTTATATTGTTATTGTTGGTTGATTTTTTTTTTTGGTTTTTTGTTTTTGGATGGGAGTGCCAGAGTGGAACAAAAGCACCTCCAAAAAACAACAACAATAATAATAACAGCAAAACACTCACCGGCAACAAACACATAAACTGCTGACATAAAAACACAGTTAAACAAGAACTGGCAACTTTGTGCCGATGGGAGTGGAAGTGGAAGTGGAAGAGGTGCTCTATCTTCTAGTCGAAATTCTAAAATGCTTTTAGCGAAGAAACTAGGTTTACGAGCCCAACATTGGCCAATCCACAATTCGCAGAAATTACCCATCCTAGGTGAGAATTTGTGGCCAACAACAGCTAATTGGTTTGGGAATGATGGTAAGATAGTACTTGATGCTAGTCGATATGGTTGCGGTTCTAAAGTATGAGGAAATCAGATGTTTAAGTGTTTTTGTGTAATTTTCTGTTTTCCTTTGCAGAGTTGAAACCTCATATTATGCTGTTTCGTATTGGTTTAAATAATCAGTCGATTTAATAGTAATAATAATAATAGTTTTGGTAATACTAAATCGTTAGAAATTACTATATTTAGGTGTACAAATATTATAAAAAAAGGCTACCTTTCTGGCTCTAAAGAAATTGATTATAATTTATGAAAGAAAAATAAACTTAGAAAATGTACAAACACTTCATTTTCTATATTTAAACCTCAAACTATAAAGTCAATTAAATATGAAAGGCAAATAAATCATCTTCCAAATGTCGACCTGTTTGAAATGTATTTCTTGACATCCCCTCCCTGCAAACGGGTAAAACCAATCGACCTTCTATAATCGCCAGACCATTACTAACCTTTATTTGTATTCCGCGCACTTTCGTGTTCTTGTTGGCCTCAATAGTTGCGCAGGTAATTAGGCAAGCAATAAGCTGCTTAAGTGACACCAACAACAGCAAGTCGGGCCAATAAAAAATAAAAGGCGGCAAAGAAAAGTGAATTATATGACAGCGAATCGAATTGAGGTCAACAGCAGAGGATTTCAGTGGCTTGTTCGAAAACCGAATTTGTTGACATTTGAATACGGTGCAATAGATAAGCAATTAAAATGTTGCCAAAAATATGCCCCTAGCAAAATGTGCTGAAAATTTCATCAGAATTGTTTAATTTATGGCTACGTGGTTAGCGGAGTATGTCCACCATAAAGTTAATTAAGCCGATCATGACTGGATTATAATGTCGGCTATGGCATATGAATGGACTAACAACTGTAACATTTTCCAGTTGACAGTGGCGCACCATGATGGTATAAATATTTATAGGCTCGGCCAAGTGCCAGCCAGAAATGTGCTCGGCGGACCAAAAATAGCAATGAATGCGAGTATATAGACAAATATTGCTCCACGCAAACACAGATACGGATTCGTATTCGGATTCGGGGGCTGGAATTCTTGGGACCATCGAAGCGTAAACTGGCGTCCGCTGCAGAATCAGTTGACAGCTTGACAGGCCACACGACGTATGCGCAATTTACGAGGGAGAATGAGGCAGTTCGAATGGAAAATCTCTAAAAAAAAATTACAAAAAACAAGGATCTTTACAAGAATTCTATTTTTATGAGTATCCTGTAATAATGTTGAAGTTTTCATTGATCCTTACTTTTTTTTTGTAAAACTTTAAAAATGACTCTCAACCTTTTTCATAGTTTTTTTGGGGTTGCTAACTTTTTGCCACACCACTTAATATTATAAAATGAAAAGTATTTAAGACTTACAAGCTCATCTCCTCGTTGGTCACGGGCTGTGTTTTGTACCGCTCCCTCTGCATATCCCTGCGCAGGACACTCGGCTTGAGAACCCTTGGTGTGGGTGGACCTCCCAGCTCCATCGATGCCTGCAACGGAGACTCCCAGCTGCTGTTGGCCCCACCCGCGGCACGGGATGTGGGCGTGGACAGCATCTCCATGCGCTTTATACGCTCCGCCACCGAAATGCTCGATGGTGTGGTCACAAAATCCACTGGTGTGCTCGGCGCAACCTGTGAGGTGGCAATGGCATCCAGTGCCGCTGCCAAATCCATCCCAGGCTGGACATCCTGACGTTCTAGGGAACGCGTGCGCCTCTTCAGCAAACTGGGAGACGAGTGGGAGTCATCCACATCATGCGAAGCGGAGCCCAGCGAACGACGCTTCGAAGGCGAGTCTGACTTCAGAATTGAGGATAGGGAATCATCGTGCTCCAGGCCACTCAAATCGAACTCCTCGCGACTGCTCTTACGAGAGCTCTTCAATATGGGGCGAATCTCATGTTCATCTGCCTCGCCAAAGGACTTCTTTTTGAGTATGGGCTTTGGCGGACGCACTGCCTCCTCGCTAGAGGTGCTCTCCTGCTTTAGGATGGGTCGAATCTCGTGCTCTTCACCGTCCTCAAAGGTAATGCCATCATGGGCGGCCAGTTCAGCCGCAGCCAAAGTGACAGCTTGCGAAATGGAGACATGCTTGTGGCACCCTCCATCCGAGGGTGTGGATAGCGAATCCTTCTTCTTCAGGATACTGTGTGGCTGGCTCTCCGTGGCCGAAGGGCATCCATCGCTCTTGCTGCTGTCGTAGCTGCTCTGCTTAAGGATTCCATGCGCCTGGGCAGGACTCAATCCAGTTCCAGCTTCCTCCAGCGAATTCCTTCGTGCTGACTTGATGAGGATGCTACGTTCGTCGGGTGAATGGGAACGGGAGTAGTAGCGGGATTCATCCAGGCTCGATCTTTTCTTGAGTATTCCCTGCCGTTTGCATCGGCCAGCTCCTGCCAACGGATGATCCACCACGCTGGAGGAGAACGTTACCGGCGACGGGTTGCTCGAGGCACTCGAGTTGCATTCGCCCAATCCATGCTCCTTCTTCTTCAGTATGGATACAATTTGATTGGGTGCAGGTGGTGAATTCTGGTTTGCTAGTCCCGCAGCTGCTCCACCTTCATCCGAGCTCTTCCTGCGCATTATGGCCGATATTTTCTGGCCTTCATCCGCCAATGGTTGTTGTTGCTGCGCCTCAGATTGCTCTGCAATCTTCTTGATCTCCGCCAGATCGGTTTTGGTCCTCTCGTTGAACTTCTGGGTGACACTGCGGGCCACGGGGGCATGTAATGGTCGCGGAGCGGGCAAAACAGCGGTCATGGTGCGCACTGGAACCTCCGGATGTCGTACGGCCGGTATAAACTGACGATAGGACTCCGAAATCGAAGTGGATTCGCTGCAGGAACTTCTCTGTGGCGTTTGCAGCAAATCCCTCAGAGCATCATCATCGCCAGGAACCAGAGGACGGGCCATGCCCAGTTCGCGACGTCGGCGACGGCGGGTTGAAGAGGCAACCTCATCTGCAAGAGAATATCAGGGAATTAGTAACCAATCAATAGTAATTATTAACTCAAAAAGCAGCCACTGGGCTTAACACGTGCATAACATTAAATGGGGACTTGGCACAGCTTGGATTTTAACATATTTTACACAAGTTCTTTCAATGAAAAAGCTTTCACGACGCAGCACAAAATGATTTAAATGAAAGTGTTGAAATTGGTATTTAAAATTTGTATGATTCTGAGACGGTAGGAGCCACATGACGCTTGAAGATCGAATGATTCAGAGTGAGGTCTGTCATCTTTGCGGCCTCATTGGATAGCTATTCAAGCTTGAAGTCACTCCCAATTTGGTGCCATGCTGATCATCTCCCCTTTGGGCTGCTGTTTGCTGCACTGCATCCAGTTGTTGCCAACTTACCGCCATCCTTGGTGGCTTCCTCGGTCAACGAACGATTCAAATTCGATTTCCGTTTGGCCGACTTGTCGCGATCTCCCAAACGACGTGGTGATACCTCGGGCTAGGGAAGAAAATTAGAAAATTAGTGATCATATTAAAGATGGAACCACCTTAAAAGGTGAAACTAAGAGAAGTATTCAACTAAGATAATTATTAAAAATTTATAATTTAAATAATGATTTTTACATTTTCCGAGAGATAAGTATATAATTATAGATTTAATTATAGATTTGAAAAGGTCGGTATATGAATAAGTTAAAAATGGAAAAGCATTAAAATTATTTTAGTTTCACCTCCAAATGTGGTTTACTTTAAATGTGTTCCTTACCGTTCTTTTGTGCTTCTGCACGGGACTCAATTGCAGATTAGCCAAGTGGTCACGTCGTCCATTCTCCGCGTTTTCGGTGCTCATTGTGGAGCTTCGTGGTCGCATCCGGAGTGTGCATTCGGCGGTGGCCCTGGGCGGACTCACTGTACCACCCGTAAAGTGCAGTTCGCTGAGGTTCTGCTTCATGGAGACCCCCGAACCTACGGCCACTAAAGTCTGGCGTCTTTGAGTGGGCGGTGTATCCACCGGTTGGGAGGCAGATCTCGCCGGGATCCTACTCGGATTGGCTGTTGCAGCTGGCTCCGAGTTGAATCCACTAGCACCTGGCGACTTGGGCGATAGCTCCGAGCTGCTGAGCCGTCGATGGGTCAGAGCTCCTCCGTTGCTGGAGGTTCTTGGGGATACGGGCGAACTGTAGCGCTGGCGCTGCTCCTCTTCCTTCTTTTTATCTGCGGGTGGGGTTGGAAAATGGAAAACGCACACGATATTGAGGGTGATGAAATGCGAGCGTGGTTACACAGACAAAAACGTATAATCGTTTTCTACAAATACTTTTACGAATTTTTATAAAATTGTTGAATTTTATTAAGGTTTGAGTCCAAAAAAAAATAATGTTGGTTTTAGTTACTTTAAATAAAGTCGATTTTTGTATAATCTTTTTTATATTGACATAAAAAATATTTTGATAATATTACTTTATATGTTAATGTAATGTAAATATGTTTATGTTAATATTTGCCAAATACAGTATTGAATCTTTCATAAATCAAACCATCATAGAGAATCTGTTTTAGATGTTCGTCTAATTTTTTCTCTGTGTTTTACTACACAACATAAATGCACACAATACAAACTACAGTGGTTAGACTATGGGGATATGGATTTGGAAATGTGGGTAACCCGATGACCTCCACCAATTCAGGGATAAAGATTAGAGGGGCAGGAGACTCACCAAGCGCGGCGGCGCGCAGGCGACTCGCCTTAGTGGTGCGAACCGCTGGCGAGGATTGGGGCGAGGTGGTCGAGGAGGAGCAGCTGCCGCCGCTGAGGAGCGGACTGGCAATGGCCTGTGGAGGAGCAATGGTGGACTGGCTGCCAAGACGCAGCGGCGACAGGGGATTCTTGCGACGCTTAATGGGCGAACCAGCAGCAGATGTTGCTGCCGTGCCGGTGGATGTTGCTGCTGGTGCTGCTGCTGCAGATGTGGCTGTCTTAAGCACAATTAACGGCGCTTTGTTGGCATTAGCTAGGGGCGGCATGGGCGTGGCGTGTTGCTGTTTAGTATTGTTGTTGCACGTGCTGTTGTTGCTGTTGCGTTGCCTGGCGTTGCAGTTGTTGTTTCTGCTGTGGCTATAAGTGCAATTAATACTGCATTTGCCAGCTTTTCCTCGACTTTGGCTGTTTGCTGCTGTTGCATTTCGTTGTTTACGTTTTTTCATTTTTTGTTGTGTATTTTTTAAGAGGGTAAATGCGTGGAGTTTGTTGTTTTAGTAAGACATTAAAGCTTATGATTGCTGCTTGTTGTGGTTGCTGCTGCTGTTGCTGTTGTTTTTGTGTGTGCGTGAATGGCTTGGGATTGCATAATGCAAATATGGGGGTCTGGGAGAAAAACTCAAGTCAACTCCAATCTAATGGCTAGCTGGCAAAGATTGATTGGTGTGGTGACAAACACGAAATAGTTGCGAAAGTCGTTTGTGACAAAAGAAAAGCATTAAGCCCAAAACGAAAGTTTTCGAGCCGATCTCGGGTCATTAGGTCCCCATTTAACGATGATGTATTAACTTTGTCTACATTATTGGACATTAAACTGACAGAGTAAGCGATTAGATTATCGTCCAACGATTAGATTTCGCTCACAAATAAACCAGAATTTATGACTCTCTGAAGAGGTAAGTGTGGGAACTGTTTAAATATGGCTAATATTTACCCAATTGTTATTAATAGAAGAAATAGCAATCAATATTAAGAGTTTGCTAAAATAAATGAAAAAAAAATAATTAGGGGAAAACTAAATAGCTGGAAAATCATAAATATTTCTAATGAGTGATCGACTGATCTCAAACAGGATCCCTTCAGAAAACCAATTGCTAACTTCCCTTTGGATTCTGCATAGCGAAAATAACTTGAACCACTGTAATCCGTCTCAACCTTGTTTTTGCCCCTAGGGTTATGTAAAACCCAGGCGATTTCATAATCCACCCAGAAGACGGGGCAAAAGAAATGGGCGAAAAAAACATTTTTCGGCAAATCATCTGCCAGCATCTCCGGAATCTGCCCGTTCATTGCCTTCTGCCGTCTGTCAAAGATCAGTGAACGCTCTAAACTTTTCGGGGCGATCGTTGGCCCTCTAGACAGCGCACAAAAATCAAATTAATTCCACATAAAGTGAATCGAAAAATTGCCAAATTGGTAAATATTGAAATCAATACGCCCAGTGGGAAAACAAAGACTCGAAAACAATTGAACCGAAATCGATACGGCAGATCGATCATCATCATCATCATAGATGTTTATTGATTTTTTGGCAGCTGCCCCAAGTTCTGTGTGGCCACAAATGCTTACTAAATCTTTCCGATTAAACGGAAACTTCCCAATAACCATGTGATATGCAGATCTATGTCAACGATCTTCGGGGAGACTTTCTCAAGAGCCCGAAAACCGTTATAAGAGAAATACAGAAGACTGTCAAAATTTTATGAAACCCTTGTCCAACCATTGATAATAAACCCGATTCCGATCCATTCATTGATAGATAAAGTAAAATTGGGCACAGCTCGTCGAAGACCGGGTTTTGGGTTGGGATCTATTAGCAATTTTATGGCATCTTTCATTTGCCTAAGTTGCGTGAAGACTGGGCATCGGCTTTATTAAATGACAAACAATTTTATTCATTTATACACAAGAGTTTTGCAAAAAAAAATCAACTATGAGGAAACTCTGAAATCATATTGCGAATAAAAATTGCGCAAATTATCTTATATAATTCGGACTGTTAGATTTTTCTGACATTAGAGAAACCTCGCCAGTCAAAACATTTTGGAATTGATTCGACTTGAAGCGAGTTGCTCAATTGCAATTTGATTTAAATGTTTTGGCCGAAGGTCTCTCATGAGCCAAATTAACATTTGTCTAGAAAACGTTTTCGCTTGATTGGCAAGCCGACAAAAATCTAATTTAGTTTAAATTGCTTTTAAGTGTGCAAAAGAAACGAAGCAACGCGGCGACTCGCCTCTTCCGATGATGGAGTTTGGTTTTATTTCTCGGCTAATTTGCAGAAAACGTTGACAGGCCCACGGTTCAGGGCTGAATCGGCATGGGGCGGGCTAATTACCGAACTCTGGTTGGGAAAGTTTGGCCCAAGAATTAATGAATTTGTAATGTTCGAAGCGAAGGTAAATTAAAGTGTGAGATCAGAAAACGATCGAGAGAAATATCAGTGATTGGTAAAGGTATTTACTGATCTGGCTGACTAAAGGATAATTGTGATATCCAAATGTAATCATTAAAGGATTCTTCAAATGAAAAGAAAATTATAGGAAAAACTGACAATTTAAAGGGGTAGGAAACGGATCATTATTCAAATATCCAAAAATGTGATGATCTACATGATCATTATAAATCTGATGAATGGTTTAAGTACCATAACACAGACACAACGCTTGGGATAATTTTATGATCTAGTGAACCGTTTAATTGATCTATGCCTACAGCATAATCAAAAAGAGATCAGTACAAAACATTTAAATAGGCAGGATCATATAATTATTTTAATTTGATTGATATTGATATCTTACATATTTACCGATGAATTGTAAAGGAAGGGTGTATTGTTGATGCCATGATACGTTAAAAGAGGCATAAAGTAAAGGATAATATATTAAAATGCTGATATTGATATCTCAAGTAGATGATGAAGAATAAAGAGGCCTATAAATTCCCATGGTTGGATAATATAAAGGGATTCTCTCCTATAGAATGAAGTTTGAACAGGATGTATGAAGTAGAGAGGCAAGGGATTGTTCTCACAGATGAATTGAGAGTTTGTTAGGAGCCTTGAATGGGAAGCTGCAGCTCATGGCAAGCAAAGGATCAGTAAAGCAGGCTCTAGCTACGGCGGACATTTTTTCAAAACGCTCAAGGACGAACTGTAACTCGAAACACAAACAGGCAACACAGAGGGACGTCACAGAAGCAACAAACAAACAAACGGAGATTAAGGACTCAAGGACTCACCTGAACTGGCAGATGCAGTGGGACAGGATGATGGGACGATCGCTTCTGGCTGCTGCGGTGGCTCGATGGTCTGAGCCTTAGGAACTTCAACTGGAGGATGTCGCTGCTGGTCATGGGTCATCACAGTGGTGGCTGCCGTCTCATAAGCGGAGCTGTTGCCATTGGCCGAGGAGGAGGGGGGATCGCCACCTGGTCGGTTCCGCCTGCGGGTGGGCGAGGGTGAACTGGAGCTGGAGGAGTCGCCTCCGCTGTGGTGCAATTGTGGCGGCGGCGGCGAGTGTCCGGCGGAACTCTGGCGACTGGCGGAGCGCGTGGTGCGCGTTATGAATCTGCGAAGGCGGTTCGGATTACTTCATTTACTATTTGATTTCTGCGGGATTTGCCATAAACAGTATTTAGTTAATTTAGATTTACACGGAAATAAACACGCGATCAGCAGAGAACACCAAAAACAAAACGGGAAACGAGATCCCAGATCCGACAGATACAAAGATACAACTCTCGAGAGTTCCGCTAAATGCGGCACGGCTAGACGGCAGCAAACACGCTCGGCAACTGCCGCCGGGTCGCCCAGCAAACACAGTGGAAACCCACGGAGCGGCTTTTTTTTCTGTCGGTTATTTGTTTTTTTGTTGTTTTTTTTGGGTTTTGCCGCTTGGTATCTTGCAGATACACAGCCAAACAGCAACAAAGTCACTCGACGAATAACGAAAATCACTCAAAAAGAGCGAAAAAGAGAGCGCCGCAAATTCGCACATTTGCTGCCAGGTAGCAGCAGCAGCGGCATTCGTCAGATACAAGATACAAGATACAAATACAAGCTGCGGCTTTATCTCCCGGCCGTCAAAGAACAAAGCGTAACAAGTCTGTTATTGTTATGGATTGGAGTGACTATTGCACGCATGCGCAACAGCCCAGCCACTCAGATAGCGCAGGTAGCTAAAAGTATCTCAAGCAAAGTATCTCAAAGTCTGCCATGTAAATGATATACACTTCCTCATCGCTGACAATGCATCTTTTGCCCATACAAATATCTGTTTAGCGAGCGAGTGAAGAATTTTGCAGCTTGTCGCAGACATTCAATCAAGCGCAAGACTTCGTCTAGCTGACCGTTTTGTCTACACAAAGAGAAATATATTAAACTAGCCGTATGCGACTTTGTCTAAATTTGTATTTGTAAATACAAAATATATTCATGAATCGCTAAACATATTTGTTACTCTATTCTTACATAAATACCTTTCTTTATATATATATAGATATCAATAGATAGTTCATAATAAAAATGTCTTTATCTTCGGAAGTTCTAAAAGACATTATAAATTATTTTTTTTTTTGGAATATAACTAATTTTTTTGTGTGCATCTTTGAGTTTTTCTGTTTTTTTTTTTGCCAGGTAAACAGACTGCACATTTAAATGTCGCGACGCATCAATGTCACTTCTTTTTGCTTTGTGTAATTTATGATGTCTCGTGCCGTGGAATCATTCAGACACAAAGGCATAATATCTTCCAGTCCGTCCTTGGTATAGAGGTAGGGCATGATCATATCGATCGTTAACACACGGGAAATTTCACGAGGGAGTGATATTCTAGTCTCCAGAAATTAGGTTTAGGGATTAACCCAAACGAATACAATGTGTCTGACATTAGGAAAATATTTTGATGAAAAACCCCTAACATAATTGAAAGGGAAAACGGATATTCTTATTTATATATTTGATTTTAGGAGGAAAGAGATCCACTTAGCATTTTAAAGATTAGACAGTTTTTCTGAAAGCCAATGAGTCATTTCGTTATTTAGAGATTATCTCAGAGAGCTTAACTTTATGTTCAAACTAAAATTCAACTGACTGGAAATTGTATTCATTATTTTTCTTTACTATGGCACCAGAGAGTTTGGACAGTAAAATATTAGACCAAATTTTTTTCAGAGATATAAAAAAGTAAATTTCACTGGAATTTCAAAAAAATTGGATTGATTTTAATTGCTTTTAGATTTTGTTACAGTAATTTCAGCAATCACTTTTTGGGTTAGACTTCCTAGAAGCCCATTTTCAAGGGTATCCCCCGGGCCTTCAGTGGACTGCCTTCAATCTCAGCTTGATCATCATTATGATCATCATCTATTCGCTTTTAGTTTTATATTCTTGATGGTTGACTTTGTTTGTCCGTCAAATGGAAATTTCCATAAATTGTATAAATTGCTAGACGCATATGACGTATCTGCGCTACTGGATGTCCGAGAACTTTCCAACTCGTTGGAAAAACTCAGCGAAAAAATGAAAAGTGATAATAACCAGTTTTTGGGTGGCTATTCGTTTTTTTTTTTGGGAGTCTGCGCTTAGCAGCTGCGATGAAAGCGAAACCAGGACTAGACCATTGACGATCTGGGCCAGGCTAACTGGCTATCTGGCCAACTGGCTGGCCATTAAATGGATACCCAAGCAGACGCAGCAGGTGATCGGATGACGGTGTTGACACCACAAAACGGTGCCTGAGCCCCAGATAAATTCCACACTTAATTGCCGTGCATTCAAATTTTTCCTGTCGAGATTCTTACATTGAATGCATTTTTAGAAAATTGTCTCTTTGGCTCTTCGTTTTTTTCACTCTTCATTTCTTTTATGCAGCGCGGCTGTGTATTTTTATGAGGCATTTTTGTAGCGAAAGCCTATTGGAAAAACTTGTCGCTAGTTTCGGGTTTGGCTGTAAAACAGGTGCTTTCTACGCCGGATTTCTTTTGGGAGAAGGAGGAGAAGTTCGGTTCGAGTAGAGGTTGGGGGTCACATTTTGGAGACAACCACATTCGCTTTGATATATCACATTATAATTGATGGAACCGAAGACCGGCTGCCGCTGCGAATTGCACTCTCCACGCACTGATGCGATTGCCGAAGATGTCGCCGCTGCGATACGATCCCAAACCGAAACCCAAAGAGCATTCCCAATCCCAACCCCAAAACAATGGACCACGTAACACCCGACGGAGGAAAAAAAAGGCGAACAATACATGGATTTCGTTTGTTAACAAGCCCCCTGCCCCTGTGAATCTCGATTTGTTTGGGGGCCCGGCTTAAAGAGAGCCGCCAAGTCGCATTGTATAACACGACGTCGAACAATATGGGTGAAGATAGCATAAACATATATAGTATATGAGGGGCACTCTTTTACAAGAAAAAGGTGGCCCACAATACAGGCAATTTGTTTTGATTGTGCGCCAAGGATTATGTCGGGGAACAGCCTTAAAACGGATTAGGCTCTCAGAAATGGAGAGAGTTTAGCTTCGAAGCAAGTTGCAGCTTTAATGTTGTCCATAAAATGAGATATATACACAATCGAAATCGCATTATATTTGCTGGTTAATCAGCCACAACTTCCGAGAACAAAACGCTTTCACCCTCAACGGTAATCAGCTTGATGACCCCTGAGTAATTCCAATGAAAGCGCACACACAATCACAGTGGCGGTCAACAAAATAGCACTGAAATAAAATTTAATCTCAAGACTAGTTAGATACTTTTTTAACTATGTGAGTATGGCTTAAAATGAAACCTCAATTTAAGTTGTCAAATGAATTTTTTTTTTTAATAAATTTAAGAGGCAGATTTAAAATATCAATTTTTTCTAATTTCAAAGACTCAGCGTGAGCTTTGCTTCACTAAAAAATGTAGATCTCGAAGTTTGTACCCACAATAAATTTAAAATATTTTAGGGAACCAATTTGATTACCGCCACTGTTTATCGAAGCGTACTTAGCTAGCTTCGAGTAACAGCATATGGAGGGGGCAGTGGGCACCCAACACCTGTCCGTAATCAGGACAACCTAACCTTGGCTAACGACAGACTAAAAAGAAGCTAATTATGCGCGTAATTGCTCCCGTTACAGATAGATAGATACATTGAGGGGATGTGGGGGAGTGGAGTTATTGGGGAGGTGGATTCCATGCGGGGATGGGGTCTCTCCGGCTTACCTGCGCGCATTGGTGGCCTGGTGGTGCTGCTGATGATGATGATGAGACTTGGGTTCTACTGGCAATGATTGATGTGCATGCAGATCGTGTTCGAGATGATCGGGTTCTTGGTGGTCTGCTTCGGGATCTGAATAATGATGGTGGTGCCCGTTGGCCCCGTTCATTAGTTGCGTTCCCGCGTTGAGCCCCTGGCTCCATCGCTCCAAGGTGTCGAAGACATCCCCCCGATCCAATTGAGTGGTGCTGTCGCAGTCTTCAATGTCCAGGTCGTGATCGTAGAGGGAGTTCACAATGGCGGACAGTGGTATCTTCGGGGGTTCCACAAACAGTCGCTCTGTATTCACCGGCTCCCCAGCATCGTAGTTTTGAACATTCTGGGATACAGATGGGATGCTGCGGGCCGAGGGCTCCAGACTCCTGGCCAGTCGCAAATTCAGTCGATCGGAGGTGGCTGCCCGTGGTGAGACCTCATCCGAGGCTGCCTCTTCCGGTGGCAGTGAAGTGGCCTTGGCACTCAGATTGGTGACCTTGCGACTAGAGTGCAGTGCCCGCAGCGATCCCTCATCATCGCTGCTGCTGCTGCTGCCCGCCGGCAACTCCTTGCTTGCTCCCACCAGAAGATGTTGCTGGTGTGCCAGCTGCTGTTGCTGTTGCTGCTGTTGCTGCTTGGGATTGCTGCTACTGCCGCCCGAGTTGCCGCTGCTCATCGGGGGATTGAGGTAGTGATGGTGCAGGGGCCAAAAGGTCGCCAGCTTGTCGGTTGTTGGCTTAGACTGTTGCTCCTGATCCTTCTGATCCTTGGGCTGCTGCTCCTGGTCTGCCTTTTCCTGCTCGTTGCTGCTGCTGCTGCTGCTGCTGCTGTTCTCCAGGTTCTTCTCCTTGCATATTATGTCGTATAGAGCGCTAATTGGACGCGACTCACTGCGCACGCGCACCGCTCGCCGGGATCGACTTTGGAATCGCTGCTTGTGCCGGCTATTCCGACCGGATCCGCTGGGATTGACTACGGGTGGTGTTGGTTGTGGTGGTGGTGGACTAGCCTGCTCTACGGGGTGGGTACAACTACTGATGGTGGTGGTGCTGGTTGATGTGATGGGGGAGTGACTGACACCTTCGTGGCTGGTGGGTTCACCTTTGGTAGGGCTCGCAGATCCCTGAGAGTATCTGAAGAAGCGTCCCTCGCTGCCGGTTCTCTGCTGATTCCGGCGCAGTAATCTTGTGTGACTGTCGCTGGACGCAGAGTCGCCACGAAAAAAAGTTCCTCTGGCCTGGGGATTACTTATGGGCAGCGGTGGATCCTTGGTGGCCGAGGAGCTCTTTGGAAACGAACGCTGCTCCACCAACTGTGTACTCGGGGTGCTATAGACACTTCGATAGTTCTCGTTCAAAGCACCAACATCCGACGCATTCGGGGTGTGGATCCTCAGCTGGAGATCCGTGTAGTAGGCGGGCGTGGTGTGGTGATGGAAGTGCGGATGCTGACCACGATAGCCACTCTTCTGCGAACTGGAATCCTCCGAATTGTTGGTCTGCTGTTTCGGCTGCTTCTGCAGTTTCTGTGGCTCAGCTGGTTGGCAGCTAGTTTTGGCAGTGGCAGGTGCTGTGAATAAGTCACTGGAGGCCGCAATGGTTTCTGCAAAACGGAAGAGAAAAAGAACCAAGAGTGAGAGTGGGCTTAATGAAAAGTAACGTAAACTTGTTTCCCCTAATGGTGTTTCCGCTTAATGCAGCAAGATGGCCCCAACTGGGTATTATTACACTTATATTAAAAAAGTCAATACAAGTTTTTTCATTTAAATAATTCGAGTATTTCATTCTTTACTCAAATCACAGTGCCTTGAAAACTTTTAAATTATATACATTTTATTACAAAACATTTTTAAATTCAAAGTATATTTTATATTTCCGTATTTATTTTTCCGAGTGCACAGTTCCCCCCTCATTCCCCTCGTGTGTTTGCTTTTCTAATTCACTTTTTCCGCACCGCACTTGGCGCGTAAAAAAAGCAAATCTTGGCAGCAATTAAATTGCACCTGAGCACTCGGATTAATATATTGCATGCTCTACAGCCATCCCAAAACGCCCCCTCATCTTGGGCTGCCTTCTAAAAACCCCACCCACTAAACACCTACAACCATGTCAAGGTGAGGTGAGGGTTGCCTGCTTTTTATAGCCAAGCATCTGCTCTGGCAATGAGTGCAGTTTTCGTGGGCTTCGTACTTTTGGCAGTGACTGTAGATGTAAATGCAAATCTAATTTGACAACTGCCAAGGCATAAGCGATTAGTTATGCTCTCTGGGCGGCTAAAATAAGGAAGCACACACGAGGACCTAATTAATCTTATATGGGAGAACTCAAACGAAAAATCTCGAATTTTGTTACAGTAAGTAATGCAAGTGATTATTTCATATAAACAATTTATTTGACAGCTGCTGCGCACATTTCAAATGCCAAGAGTCGAAATGGAATTTCACGAATGTGCACAAATAAAATACAACACTTTTTGGCCAAATGTTGAGCAAATGTAAGAGCTCAGCGAATTTTTTGTATCTAATTTATTATGACAGGCAGTCAAAAACGAAGAAAAAAAAATTATACAAATACAATTAACAGACAAATATGAGAGAGACAGAGAGAGTGGAAGCGATCTTTGGTATATTTGTCCAGCAATTACGAATGCCCAGTGAAATTCAAATATTGAAACTGTTAGCACATCTCGAGAGGGCAAATAGAAATAAAGCCGCAGCCGCATATCTTATCAGAGGGCGAAAGCAAACAGCCACAAAGCAAAAGTCAATTTGTAGATCGGAAAAAAGCCACAGCAAAAAGGCGGTTTTGAGGTAGGAAAAACATGGCTTGCAATTAAGTAAACAATGCAAAAATAATATTTCGATATCATAGAAAACTTAGTAATAAGTTATGATCTATTGTATATATGTCACTAATATTTCAGCTTAAAGATATTAAAAGTATAAAATGAAAAACAATTAAAACTCATTATAGGCTTTTTTTAAGTTTAATAACATTCAATTCATCCACAATTAAGAATCATGTTTAATTGCGTTCCATTTTTGTTGCCTAAAAATTCCACAAAAAATTTGTAATTCAATTAGTTAAAAAAAAGCAGACGAGTGTGGGCGAGAATTTGTCGTACTTTAAACTTTTTAAACAGTCAACCCTTCCACTCCTATTGAACCCGCACCAATATACTTTTAAAGGGCATGTTTAACCTCTTTTTGGGGTCACCACATCCCACGCTCAATTAAAAATAGCAATGACAATATGTTGTTAAACGCCATTCCCCTGTCTTAACATACCAATTTTGTTCTTTTTTTGTGTTCTCTTAATTGATTGAAATGTTTTTTTTTTCGCTCAAATACATTTTTGTTTAAATTATTTTCAACAAAATCGCATGGGATTTTTTGCTGCCTCTATTTCTTATTACCTGAGAAACTTTTCCCAGCCAAGTCAAGTGCAAAGAATACATTATAATTGGCAATTGTATAGCAAACCGTATAAAGACAACAAATCTGGTGGGAGGTGCTCACGTGTTTTGCAATTTTCAAAGAATCGCAAATGCCATGAGACATAAACTGTATTTATAGTTCACTGAATTGGAAGCATTTGTTACAATCTAATGAAAATGTTGTCTCGATTGTGACAAATATAATATCGAATTTATGGGAAAATTATACTTTTTCTTCTGCCTGACGTTAAAACAAAGAATGTGAGTAAAAGAATATTGAACTTAAAGGTAAACAGAAGACTTGCACACACCTCCCATGCTTATCGCAACCCAATTTCCTTTCCGGAAAAAACAAAAATAATTGAAAGCAAATATTCGCTTTGGGATTTTGTTTTGCCAACGTGCCAGAAAGATACGATATTTTTAAAAATAACAAGACGAAAATTGCATCCAGGATGACAATGGCCGAGAGTTGAATGTACAGAACTTTATAAGGCTTTGCTTATGGAAAATGGATCAAAATCGTGTACTAAAAGCATTTTATATCCACCCAAAAATATTATATTTCTGAATGCATTTACGCAATGGCTAAATCTGGTCATAAACAAATTGAAAATGAAAATCTAGCAAAGGCAAGTTGCCAGCGTGGGATTCTCCAACATATATGAATGGGTTGCATGCCAAAATCCAAATTCAAACCAGAAAAATAAATAAACCAAGTCGTTGGCACGTTGCCTTATGGGTTATACTACAAAAAACTACGATTTGCAAACAGCTTTGGCGAAAAGAAATCCTCCGGCGCAACTTTAACTAATTATTGAGGGTAAAAACAGCTGGGAGTTCGTGTAACTAAAACGCTTCCAGGGACAATAACAATTACAACATAAGCAATAACAACATAACTGCTGTCAACATTTTTGCGGCTTCGTTGCGTTGAATTACCAAACGCTTCTGTGTGTGGCAGCCAACTGATTGATCGATTGGCCCTTGTCTTCTTGCGTCTTGTGCCACAGACCCGGGTTGCATAATTAATGAGGGGAGGGGCACGGCTTAAACTTGCTGCAAAAATATCATATTGTCAAGGCAATCCCAGTCGGTGGTAGACCAGTAAAAAATATGCACTAAGAGAAACCTGCCTAAAGAACGATTCCACAAATTTAACTATTCATTTTTCAGATATATTATTAATTTATCTATAAAATTTAATTTTAATAATCTGTGGATATCACCAACATGTATTACTAAATGAGAACTACCATAAAATTAACGAGAATGATGCAAAATCAGCGACATTTCCGAACTTAATTTTAAATTTATTTAAAACGTATTTTCTTCTTTTAAAAGTAAATCCAAAAATGTAATTTCATTTGAGTTTCTCCTTTTTTTAATTCAACAGGCACTTTGAAAGATAGCCAGTTTTTTTTTTGTAAACATACTCAGAAAAGCCATCCAATGCCTATAAATACGTGTGTGGCTGCAACAGAAAAAAGCAACGAGGGACGAAAAAAAGGCAGAAGTTGAATCAATATTGGGGAAAAAACTGCATTTTACAGAAGTGGCTGCCGTCTCGTTGTTTACAGTTTGCAGTTTGCTGTTTGCCACAGAGCAACGGCAGAGGCAGCAAAATGTTGCAACGTTGTTTGGGATTATTTTTAAATGCAAGGGCAAACTGCCCACGACGAAGTAGAATCCCACTTCATGCCCCCTCGACTTGCCGTAATTTTTTTTATGCAACACACATTTAATTATCAACAGCCAGAAAACCTCTTATCGACATCGGCCATAAAGTGGCCCAGAGTTTTTTGATGGTCTTTTGGGGAGAATCTTGGGAAACTTTTGACGAGTACAACATCAAATTGTGTAATTTCATGTTTGGCAATCAAAAGCAGTTAAAAGAACGCCTGGGATGATGTCGTTGATGGATGTGGATATGTGTGTGGGAGCATGGCAGGAAATTGGGTTAAGTAAAGTTCTTGAGCGTGGGATGAGTGGGAAGTGGATATTAAGGCAAGGGATCCCTCCTATTATGTCTTTATGTAGATAGCATAGTGACCCTCAATAAAGCTTGAGTCAAAACATTTTTTTAGCTTGGTAATCGAAACCCCAAGTATTTAGATTTTATAGTCATGTCTATAAACCTCTCCTATTTGTTGTATATATTTGCAATGTATCGCTTTTTAAATAAGCCGCTTGATAGCTTTATTATCGGGCATCTATATTTAGCTCATTTTACGACCTTTTATGACAGGTATCATTGTATGATATTTAACTATACAAAATATACCCATGCAAATATTTGTGCTATAAATGTAAATAGCTGATGATTAATGTTCGTAAACGGCTCATAATGATGTAATTATATACCTTACAGACGACCCTCAATCTCCCAACCAAATCGGATCAGTTTAAGACTCATAGTAAATTTATTAATGTAAATCACCCCAAATACAAATTAATTCCTCAAAATTAAATTACTTTATTGATAGCCATCGGCATTAATCCGCTTGGCCAAAGAATCTTTCTCGTTCGTTCTGTTCCTATGATTGGATAACAGGTCGTATACACAAATGACCTCTGATTGGAACAACTTTATAAGCAGCTTGGATCCCTCTCTTTGGCACTTAAGCCCTTTACAATCCAATAAAATGGCCATACATCAAGACTTACAGGGAGAGAGAAATATGTAAAAACAATCGAAATAAATAAAAAAAGGCCCGGTCTATAAAGACCAACAATCGTGGGTAAAACAAAGGAACACCGCACACTCCATAGACAAATGACACAATCTTTGTGGGTCCGGGTTCGGTTAACTTGTCGGGCTTTATCACAACTTTAAAAAAAGACAATAAAGGGGTTGAGCTTGAAAAAAAAAAATAACGAAAGACAATACTACACCAACAACAATTTGTTATAAACAATGGCAATACAAATCATCAACAGTTATTAAACAATAATCCAGAGAAAAAAAGGTGTATTTTCATAGGAAATAACCGAGATAGCTGGACAACTGTTCGACGCCGGCGTTTTAAATAACAAATTGGAATGAAAATTGATTCATTTGTGGCAAAGTCTAAAAGTTGGCACAACACAAGGCACTTAGATAAATATATTGCTATAGAATTAATCATGTAAAATCCCCGTATTTAGTAATTTTTAATGTTTTCAAT